TTAAAAAAACTCAGAGGTCACCGAGATTGTTTTGACACTAGTCATTCTGCACCTGCTTTCCATAAGTGTGAGAGGGATTCTGGAAATTTGAAACATATGACCGAGGACTGTAGGAAAGTTAAAACAGAAGAATCTGCTCATGAATGCACGTCAAATACAAATGCAGTTACAGTCCAAGTGTCTTTAAACACAATTAATCCTCCTAACAAACAACTTACAAGGGCTTGTGTCATCTCAGGGCACGGATGTTCCAGTAAATTTCATGGAGACGCACAAAGACACACAAACACAGCGGGTAAAACACAAATTCTTTTGTTGTGCGTCAGCTGCAGTCATGTCTCTTCAGAGCTGTGATCGGCAGTGTTAGTTAGATGTTAGTCTTTAAACAGCTCTGCAGCTCAAATTGTGTGGTTTCGATCAGTCTAACGCAAGTACAGACTAACTTGTTCGACACTCCTTAGTAAAGTTGTTCATAGAGGCATCCGTGTCCTCTTAGAGTCACAGTAGTTGAGTGGTTTGATCAAACTGGTGTTAAGCTCTTTGGTCAGGCAGGAGTTGTAGTTGGAAAAATACAACTGTATGTAACTAAAATTCATAGATTAGAAACAGCAATAAACACACAGTATACTAAATTCCCATGCTTTTTTTGTGACAAAGTGTAAAAGTAAAGTTGCAACACTAGGTGGCACAAACTCCATTCTTATAAGGTCTCCTCCTCCCAGGACTTAAAGTTTGAAGACTTACAGTGAGGGTGCTTGACTGGATTGTTTAATGCTTTCCAAACATCATTAGCACACTCGTGGTTACATTTCCAACTTAAAATATTTTACATCTTGACCTTGAAACAATAGAAAAATTCAGATGACAACACAAATTTGGCATTTATTTATTTTTAACCTGTTTATATTAAATATAAACATGTTAAATAGTTTTATATTTAAGCTATTTAATCTGTGAAGTTACAAGCCAGAGCTGGTTATTATGCAAATAGGCACACAATTCTGATGAGATGAGAATATATTGACAGGAAGAGCAGTTTTGATAAACAGTCTTTAAAAACATGCACTATTTTATCTAAGCTCAAGTTCAACTCAATATCTAATCAACCAATCACATAGCAGCGGCTCAGCATGTACACACGCTGGAGATGACCTACTGAAGTTCAAACTGAGCATTGGAATTGGGTAAAAAGTTCATTTAAAGTTTTGAAGGTGGCATGGTTCTTGGTGCCAAATGTGCTGGTCTGAGTATTTTAACTCCGTCCAACTTTCACTCTCTGTTACCTCTCATTGCAAGGTACTTGCAAGGTGTAGCTAATGAAGTGTTCTGAACTCTGTTGCAGGTGATGTATTCAGGATAGCACCTTGTTCTAG